GAATTTAAACTTTTATTATTTCTTTGCCTATGTTTAGTGCCCTTATGGCAATGACAGGGATATAACTGGGGTTGAGAGGACAGGAATCACTTTGGGACAGGGACACTGAGTTCACTTTTACTCCTTCCAGTCTGATAAGCTTCCTTCTGGCTTCACTGAGTGAGTGGGCTGAGCTCTGATCTTTGTACCTGTCTGCAAAGGCAAAGCATACCCTTTCTAGAAACATTCACGTTGTCTTCCTGCTACTAACAGCCATTTTCTACTTTAATGCAAGAATTTGTGCAAGATCTTCTAATCTTTGGATTCTCCAACCCCCCCTTTCAGAACAGGATTTTCCCACTGAGAAAACGACAGAGAACATGGAAATAGGTTCCCATAGGTTTCATCCTCTCTAGCTTTGCTTGGTAAAAATGGGAGCACTGACTACTCTGACTAGTAACACTCCAAAATTAACTTTTGTTTGTTTAGGGAAACATGCCAGAGTGAAAGAGAAAGAACGGGAGCATGAGCGTAGGAAGAGACATAGAGAAGAGCAGGATAAAGCCCGTCGTGAATGGGAGAGACAGAAACGGAGAGAGATGGCAAGGGAGCATTCCAGGAGGGAGAGGTACAGCTATCCCTGCCTCCCCTGGGGCCACCCAGCACAGACATGAACAGCTGCCTCCTCTAATCTATCTCTAACCATTGCTCTGAAAGGACAAAAAAATCCAGAGGGAAAACTTGGCTGGTGCCAGTATTCCTGGGAATGTGGTGTCCATGGAATGAGTTCTTGGCTTTAATTACTTTTTAAGTGCTTCGTTGCAAGGGACATTCCGAGGTGAATTCACTGCTGGTGTTTCACCATAATTGAAAGGTTGGACTTGATGACCTTGGAGATCTTTTCCAACCTAAATTATTCTGTGGGGGAAAAAAAAGGTGCAAACTGGATTTGCACATTAGGGGATTAATGACCTGAACTTGCTTAATTTCTGTTGAAATCCTGCTAGGGGTGCAGAACTCATGGTCTTTGAAACACATTTTTTTAAAGGATCAGCTGAGAAGCTCCATCTTTTTTTTTTTTTTTTTGCCTGGTTAACAAGTGGTGCTGATAATGAAACTGAGTTCTGAGGTTTGTAACAGCAAACCAGCTTTCCCTCCCTTCGTGGGCTGAATTTGTGACAAACAATCGTTATTTTCCAGAGACCGTCTGGAGCAACTGGAGAGAGAAAGAGAGAGGAAAATCCGGGAGCAGCAGAAGGAACAGCGGGAGCAGAAGGAGCGGGAGAGGCGAGCGGAGGAGAGGCGGAAGGAGCGGGAAGCCAGGAGAGAAGGTGACTGGCTCTGCAGAAATGTTCTTCCTACTTACCATCAGTTTACTCCCTCCTGACTCAGTGGTGGAATGGAGGGATAGAAAACCTCCTTTACTTAGGGCAGTGCCAGAATTTAAAAAAAAATTAAAGCGGGGAGGCCTTTTATGTGGGAGGGAAAAGGAAATGCAGGTTCTACAAGGGGAAATAAACAAGGTTATAAAGTTATTGCCTTAAACATCCTGGCAGGTTGATTAGTCAGTGAGGCTTTGCCTCTCTGTCAGTCTGGTTTCCTATAGAAACAAGATTTCTGTCAGTGACACTGTGTTTCTGTGTGTATCCATCAGAGTCTAACACAGTTTGATAGAGACTGAAAGCTCAGAATTCAGTGTTTTAAGGATTTGGGAAAATAAATTGCAAAAGGAGGGAGAGGTCATGTAAGTATTTCACCCATGGAAGATGTGGTAACTGAGCAGTTGAACTTCTACACATGAACCTCACTTTGCTCAACGTGTCAGGTGCTTGCAGCCTTAAGTTCAGATCATTTTTGGCTGAAGAATCTGTTTGTCTCAGCTTTCAGAGGTAAAAATCAGAGCCTATTCCTGTAAACAAGTGACAAAGATTGTTCAAGAGTAGCATTAAAAAACATATTTTTGCTTTGCTTTCTAGCTCAGCTCATACCAAACAGCTCCTTTTTGTGCTTGGCTTTGTGCTGGCAGCGCTCAATCTACGTAGCCTTTCATTTAATTGGTTTTATTGCTCTAAATGTTCTGTCAGCTCCTTCTAAACCTCAGCTGGTTTCATTCTTTTGCAAATCTTCCACTTCCTTCTCTGGCATTGATGCTTTAGTGTCAGGGTGTTTACTGTGCAACATACAGGGCATCTTGCTTCTGTTTTCCAAGCGTGGCAGCAGCTTTCTCTTAAGTAGCACAAACCCATATTATTTTATTTGAGGTAAATCACAGTCCTTTATTCTCCCACACAGAGTTAGACTCTGCTCCTCCCCATTGCCCTTTAGTTTGTAAGGGAAAATGAAAAGCATTCCAAGCAGGTGACTGTGGCAGGCAGGAATATTCTCAGCAGGGCAGGGAGGTGTAACAATTTCTTGTGGTTTTGTTTTCCCTAGTTTCTGCTCACCATAGAACAGTGAGGGAAGAATATGGAGACAAAGTAAAAATGAGACCCTGGAGTCGCAGCCCTTTACGCCAGCAGAGAGAGAAGCTTGAGCAAGGAGAGAGCAGGAAACCAGGTAGAACCTGCCACTCTACAATGTCTTTGCCTTGGGGGCAGCAGGAGCTGGGCTGGGGTAGTGTTTAACTTTTAGTGTCAAACATATATCCCAGGCACTCAGTTAAAAACCCACCTCAGCCACGGTGGCACGACCCTGGAACATCCATAAACACTTGTACTGGTTTCTGAAGCAATGCTGGGTTTTGCAGGAATTGTGCCAAGTGCCAAATGGAATGAATCTTCCCTTTTTTAGTAGTAGGAGGAGTAGTTTAAAAAGTTCCAAAGCGAGTGACTTCATTCAGTGGTGAAAGAAGCAGCTGACTGAATTTTTAAAATCTGGTAGTTTAATTCCCTTGCAGATGGAAAAAGGATGGATTTGTTTTATTAGGAGCTAAGCTACCTTAACAACTTACATTAACAGGGATCAGTGTAGTTTAAACATCACTGATATTGTCATCTTGTAGAAGCAAATAAATGCATAAGGCAGTGTTTGGTTAGATGGGGAATTTTGATTTCTAAGTCAGAAAATGGTCCTTCCTGTGCCTGGAAGGTTCTAACTGGGGGTAGAAAATTTGCACAGTTGACATAAAAATGTCTTTGTTTGAAGAAGAAAAGCTCTGTGTCTGCCCTGTTAACATGTGCAGCTGTGAAAATAAGTGTATCCATTCAAAGGAAGCTGATTACAGATGGAATCAGCTGGAATTCCAGTTGGAGGCAGCGAGTCCTTGGAAACTCCTGCCTGATGAACCATCAGTGATTGACATGGGCTATGTCATGGTGAGCAGAGTCTGCAGTGGATAGTGAGCCCTGACAGTCACCACATCTGGACACACATTAGGGACACTCCTTGTTACCAGGGTGTTTTTCCCCTTTTTTTTTTCCCTTTTTTTTTTAAATTAATTTCAGGATTATATCATGTTTAAAAACCAAAAGGCCGATATTCCATATTTTTGGCAGCTGATCCTGCACCACTGCAGTTCAGAAAAGCTGTTTGTCACTGAGCAGAGCGTGGAATGATTTTGTTTTTAGTGCTCTGAATTTCCAATACAGAATGTTCAGCACTGATTTAATGCCAGCTGAAAGTGCAGCACTTACCTGGGTGTTCAGAGTGTTAAAGTGATGCTCAGTCAGCACTCTGTTCTTAATTTTTGTGGTTTCAGCAGTGAAAGAAGAGAAACCAGAAGAGAGAGATCCTCTTTCTGACTTGCAAGACATCAGTGACAGTGAGAGAAAAACCAGCTCAGCAGAGTCTTCATCAGGTGATTAAATGCAGATGTAATTAATTGTACAGTGTAATTAATCTCTCTGCTGAGGAAACACTGTCGTTGGTGTGTCCCTGCTTAGTTCTGTGTTTGATTATTCCTCAACAGAATCTGGATCAGGCTCAGAAGAGGAGGAAGAAGAGTCCAGCAGTGAAGGTTCTGAGGAGGAAGGAGAGGAAGAGGAGGAGGAGGAGGAGGAGACAGGAAGCAATTCTGAGGAAGTGTCTGAGCAATCAGCAGGTGAGCAGCACAAAGCAGGGCCCACAGGGGGCTGTGATGACTTTGTGTCTCATTCTGTGCTGTTTTATTTGAACATTTTCCTTTTCTCTTAGTCTAGGGTAGGCTGAGACCTCACAGGTCAAGATAACTAAAAAGAAAAAAACCAAGTACAAGTCATTTTCTGTCCTTTTGTATAGAGGTAATACCAATTCTTCATCTAAGAAGCCAGATCAGAAACTTGAAAGCCACTTTTGTCTTCCTAACTGGTGTAAGGCCAACAGACTAAGTGTTCTTCTAACACATCAAATGTTCTGCAGAGAACAGTTCTGCACTTCTTTGGGGGGTGGTGAAATACAAATGTTTCTGTGATTTCAAATTATTTTCAGTTGCAAATTTCAGATTTATTCTTCATCCCAGTACAAGTAGATGAACATGATACCAAAAATGCAGTAAAGAAGTCTGCATACAGGTATTCTGGTCATTACTGAAAAGGCACAACAGGCTGGGTATTTTTCTTTAAAATCAGTTACAATTAATAAGCAAATATTCATAATCCATCCCCAAATGCCCAGATAATTGGTAAGAATTGTGTTCCCTCTTGGAAGCATTTGCTGTCCAAGTGAAGCAGGAGTGCTTGGTCAGTAAGAGGCAGTGCAGAGGTGAGGTGGAAAAGCATCTCAGCAGTGATTTGCCTCACGAGGTGCTGCAGGAACGTGGGGTGGATTCAGCTGAACTCGGTTCTGTTTTGCAGAAGAGGTGAGCGAAGAGGAAATGAGTGAAGAGGAGGAGCGGGAGAACGGAAACCACATCCCAGTTGGTACAGTGCAAATCCCGACTGTTTTTGCGGCCAAATCAATCTATTTCTAGAAATACTTTAAATATTCTAAATCCAGTTCTTGTTGCAGTTTTGCCACCATTCTAAAGCATCACATACTTGGCATTTCAAGGCCATTTTCGTGTCAGAATCAGAAATTCCTTGAAATCTGTTCCAAGGCTTAGAGGCAATCAGATCCTAGTCTAATGAGCTGATGTTTCCTTCTTTTTCATTTTGGGCCTCTTGTCCTGTCCTCTCCTCAAAAATCAGAGTGAGATATCCTGGGTCAGTTTTCTCTTTCATTCCAGTGTGAAGTTTTATTTTTCTGACACTGGAAATTGTGTGTCCATGGCTGTAAATGAGTCCTTGAAAGCATCACCTGTGCAAAGAGGAGAGACTGGGCTTCTCAGCAGTGATCAGTGTCTGACTCTCCTCATTTGGCTAAATCTGAATGTAATTATTCCAGACAGCTCCTCTTTCCACCACTGATTCTGACTTTTAAAGTTACAGAGTCGAGGTTTGACCGAGATTCAGCAGGAAGTGAAGTGGAGGAGGAGGAGGTAGGGGAGGGATCCCCTCATTCCAATGCCATGACAGAAGGGGACTATATTCCTGACTCCCCAGCTTCCTCTCCCATTGAACTGAAACAGGAGCTTCCCAAGTACCTTCCTGCACTTCAGGTAGGAGAGAACTCTTTTAAATGTAGATAAGAATGCCATAATATAATTGATGCTCTGTTATCTTGGTATTGCTACCTGAAAATAGGTCCCTGTGAGAGAGGAGTTCTGTTATGGTGAACAGGAGTCTGATGGGTGGTTATTCTTTATGTAGCCAACAGCAAAGTGGAGAAATATGAGTAAAAAGCAGATTTTTAATAATTGAGTTATGTGAAAGGTATCAGTGTGAGGTGCTGAGTTGCTGCCTTTGCCATTGTGGCAGAAATTTCAGATTATTCTGTGCAAAAGTGAATGAGTAAAGATTTAATGAAATAATTTAGTTAATAATTTAGTGATAATTTAGTTAATCTGCTGAAACACAGACTCTGTCCAGGATTCCATTAGAAATCCTGTAAAAAATAACCCCCAAAGATGGTGTAGCCATAATGATGAATTCTCTTGGTGAATCTAAGCTGTGAAGTTGCTGAAGTTTGCTGGGTGCCTTTTTGAAAATCCCAAGCCAAACCCTCCCCCAGATGCTGGAGGGGTAAATGTTGTCCCTGTGTTTTTTTCAGGGATGTCGCAGCGTGGAGGAATTCCAGTGTTTGAACAGGATTGAAGAAGGAACATATGGGGTGGTGTACAGAGCAAAGGACAAGAAGACTGGTTGGTATCAGTGCTCTCCTGTTCCCTTCAGGGGATTTGAGGGCTGCACTTGTGTGCAAATTATGGTTCTGCATTTTTCATTGAGGAACAAAATTATTTAAAACGCTTCTTTACCAGCAAGCAGGTCATTTTCAAGGCAAAACATAGCACAGTAAATTAAATATTAAACAAATCGGTGGCAGAAGGCTGGGAGACCCCTTAATGTGTATTTAGTAGCTGTGTGATGGGAAATGTGTTCTCTTTGCAGATGAAATTGTGGCTCTGAAGCGACTGAAGATGGAAAAGGAGAAGGAAGGCTTTCCCATTACTTCTCTGAGGGAAATAAATACTATTCTGAAAGCACAGCATCTAAACATTGTCACTGTCAGAGTAAGGCTACAATCTTCTATGTCACAAGTATTTCTGTTCTTGAAATATTGCCTCTCAGCTTTTAAATGCCTTATGAGATGTTAGCAATCCTTGCAGAGCTCATGGGCAGTTGTGTGCTCCTCACAAGACTGTATAGGTATTACTGTCTCCATAACCTGATGTTTTGCAAAAATAAGGTGTTTTTTTAATAGAATAATACATTTTCCATGGATTTTACCAGTGGCAGCCTCCATCCTCTTGCCGGGATCAATTTAAAACATTGATTTTTGGGTGCTTTTTAAACACCACGTGCTGGTTTTGACGGTCTGTCTCTGTGTTGTAGGAAATCGTTGTGGGCAGCAATATGGATAAAATCTATATTGTCATGAATTATGTAGAACACGACCTCAAGAGCCTGATGGAAACAATGAAACAGCCCTTTCTGCCAGGTACTGTTTGCCACAGTCTCCTGAAATCCTCCAAACTGGCCCACACAAATGGCAGTTCTGACGTCAGGGAATGGGTTTGTACAAGCACATGTGGTGCTTTGGAATGTCCCACGTTCCTTGGAACAGAGCATTCCCTGCATTTTCTGTTAGTGCTGTAAAAACTGACACAGATTAAAGTTGGATGGGAGTGCTGATACTCCTGCTGATGTTTGGCTGATGAATCCAGTGTGGAGGTGTTCAGAAGTGGAACTGAGGGAATTTCCCCTGTGCTACACTGAAAAGTAACACTGGGCTTAAATTTTGGCTGCTTCCTAGGAGAGGCAATAATTGCTGAGCATAATTTGGGTGCATTCCAGCTACCCAAATGAATTTTGCCTTATTGGCAGCAGCTCTTGTTCTGTGACATGTTTTTATTGTACAAGTTACACTGTGCTTTTAACTCGACACCCCTTCCTGCCCCCTTCCCTGTTCTCCAAATGAAACAAAAATGATTTATTCTCATAAATGCATTTGGCTTCTTTTTGTTGTTCCAGGGGAGGTGAAAACCTTGATGATTCAGTTACTGCGAGGGGTCAAACACCTTCACGACAACTGGATCCTGCACAGAGACCTGAAAACCTCCAACCTGCTGCTCAGTCATTCAGGCATTTTAAAAGTAAGAATTCCATGGAAAATACCACCCTTGGGGAAGAGTTTGTGCTGCAGAATTACACTGTGTCATAGTTCTGGCAAGAGCTGAGAACTGTGTGTTGTGTGTGGCTGTTTCTGAAGGGTGAAGCCACACAGTGGCCAAAAAGGCACTGACAGTGAATGGCCAGTGCTGAAAATGTTTCTAATTGCCATTTATTTTCCTTCTAGGTTGGAGATTTTGGGTTAGCCCGGGAATATGGGTCTCCCCTGAAGCCCTACACCCCCGTGGTGGTGACTCTGTGGTACAGGGCTCCAGAGCTGCTGCTTGGAGCCAAGGTTGGTTCCTCCCCTTCAGCCTGACTGTATTTTATAAATCATGAACAAAGGCTGAGCATGCTCTTTGTGTTGATTCAGAGCTGGAAATTCTGAATATTCAATATTATTCCTCCTAAAAACACAGCTAAAACCCTTCCATCTTCCCCAGACAGAGGGGTTTTCTCCTTTGGAATGATGATGTGGTCAGTGCTGTTGGACATCTCATGGATTGGGGCAAACTGGCAGTTGGGATTTTAATTTTTTTTCTTAAACTAATCTAAAATCTGTGACACCTGAGAGCAGAACAAGGTCCTGGCAATATTCCCTGCTGATTAAGTGAAATCTGGGTGAAATCAGTTGGGTTCAGTGACAAGAACCATGCCAGAAAAAATCCTGCTTTATCAGCTGTGCTGCTTTGTTTGTGGTTGGAAAAAAGAGACATCAGTGTGGAGACCTTCCCCTTTTATCCTGAAGTATTTGTGTACATGGCTATTGCTCATAATTCACAGTAATTACAACCTTTAAATAAATAGAGTTGAGACCTGGGCCTGGGGTGTGGGAATGATTGTGTGTGTGTTCTGCTCAGAGTGTAGAATCCTTAAAAAAACCTCCAAAACAAAACCCCAAACCACACCCCCCCCCAAACAGTGAAAGTATGTCACTGATTTTATAAGGCATAATCTTATTTTCCTTCTTTCCAGGAATATTCCACAGCCATAGACATGTGGTCAGTGGGGTGTATCTTCGGGGAGCTGCTGACACAGAAGCCTCTGTTCCCAGGGAAGTCAGAGATTGACCAGATTAACAAAGTTTTTAAGGTAATTTTTTTAATGTTTTTTGGATTCTGACTGCTTTTAGAGACGAGTAGTAAGGAATTAAAAGTGCTTGTTGCTCTGTGACAGAGATTCAGCCTTAATAAAAGGCTCATTACTCAGAGTAGACCAAAACCACGATCTGGGTGTTGTCTGTTTTCTTTGGATACTTCCCAACTCCTAAGTAAAGGGTTGCACTCTTGAGTTTATTAAGGAGATACTTTAATTTATAGGATCTGGGTACTCCAAGTGAAAAAATCTGGCCTGGGTACAACGAGCTGCCAGCAGTGAAGAAAATGACCTTCACAGAGTACCCCTACAACAACCTGCGCAAGAGATTCGGGGCCCTGCTCTCGGACCAGGGCTTTGACCTCATGAACAAGTGAGTGCAGCTTCCAGGGGCTCCTGGGGAGTGGGTGGGCAGTGGAGCTTGTTTCTGGGTTGTGAAAGGTTGGAAACAGTCAGCCCCAGGCTGAATTATAACCAATTAATAGAACTGTGCCCAATACCCAGTCATAGAATTATATCCAATTAATAGAATTAAACCCAATACCCAGTCATAGAATTATAACCAATTAATGGAACTTTACCCAATACCCAGTCAAAGAATTATAACCAATTAATAGAATTAAACCCAATACCCAGTCATGGAATTATAACCAGTTTATAGAATTAAACCCAATAACCAGTCATAGAATTATAACCAATTTATAGAATTAAACCCAATAACCAGTCATGGAATTATACCAAATTAATACAATTAAAACCCAATACCCAGTCATAGGATGATACCAAATTAGTAGAATTAAACCCAATACCCAGTCATGGAATTAGAACCAATTTATAGAATTAAACCCAATACCCACTCATGGAATTATACCAAATTAATACAATTAAAACCCAATACCCAGTCAT